TTTGTGTCCAAACGCCTGAGTATTTGGGCCACAGGTTTTGGGAGCTGTGGAACGTAAACACAGAGACATCAACGAAGGTGTAAGGAAAATCTGCGAGTCACTTCCCACGGCATGGGACGTTAAGCTGCCATCCTCACGCCGGCACAAGACTGCCCCATTTAGTGCGTATTTCGGAAGAAGGTATGTTCCGTTCGCAGATTTTAACGACGACCTGCCAGATAGCCAGCCAGTCACCAACGAAACGTGGGCCCATCGCATGGATAGGTTACACGGTACTATTTTGCCGATGATACACAAGGTCACTCTCAAGTACACAGACTCGCTGGCGAAGCAGTTCGATAGACTCTATGCGTACGACTTAATCTCGTTCCAGGAAGGTGATGTGGTTATGATAAAGACGAAGGACCGAACGACAAAGGCAATGCGTCCAATGGTTGGTCCTTACGTAGTCAAGCAACAACAGGGTCAAGGATATATCTTGGCGAACAAAGAAGGCACCACCCCAAGCACGTTCAAGGGCAAGCCGGTCAGAGTGGAACTGTTGCGTTTAGTACATAGAGCAACGGAACCACCGCTGGCGAACGAAATGTGGCAAGAACAGGGTTCGGCTTTCAGGCACATCATCCGACATCGCCAGAACGACCACTCTGGCGTCACAGAGTACTTAGTTCGGTGGAAGGAAGGCAATCCCACATGGGAGACATCAGAAGCCTTCGACGATCCGAATGACATTGCGGCATACCATAAGGCGGATCAAACCAGGAAGAAAAGAATAGAGTTGCAGAATCCAGGTATGTAATAGCTTCGGACCCTACTAAACCTAATTTTATTACATTATTTTGTTTCAGCAAGGAAAGCTCAAGCCAGTTTATAGGTCGGTTATGCCCTAAAGTGTTCTATTCTCCAGGCACAACGAATAGTCTCTAGCTCGAGCAGACTTAATTGCGAGCACCCCACCTCAGAGGTGATGAGCCAGCTTATGGGTCGTCTTAAACCTAAAATGTTCCCATAAGCAAGGCGCCCCGAGTTTCGTCGCATAGCCAGTGTTCCGGTCGACAAGGACCGTTATTCCAAATTTCAAACGTTACGCACTGTTGCTTCGGGCACAGCTTTAATCCGCGACAGGCGGACATGATCTACTCGACATCAAAGACACTCTCCCATCACCCGTAATGCTCAAGCTTGGGTGGAGTGTAGTAAAACTCCTTGATAGGATATATAGGGTTAGGATTAGAATAAACCTGATTAGCAGGTTTTAGTTCCATAGAGTCGCACATGGTGAGACTCTACGGAACTCATGTAAACAGTCAAATGACTGAATAAAGATACCGCACCGAGGCTCACTGAGCCTCAGTAGGTTTTAGAACCGTAATTGACGTGTTTACTACACTGTTCAGCTTCACAGATATCTTATTTGTATTGCTAAAGAGTGCTAAAACCAAACACATGCCTGCCGTGAGTGATATTAAACTTACCGTTGAATATTTTTCAGTGCTCTCCAGGGAGCACTGTGCGAACTCATATGGATGTGTCCGATGATGACGAAGAAGAGGACGAGCCAATTGGCATCCATGAGAGTGATTCTTCGGATGCATCTGGACCCATCAAGCGAGTTCGCCGTTCTCCTATGTAAATAAGAAACCCGAGAGAAAGAAGATGAAAATTTAAAAAAGTAAATAAACTGAACAGGGACCAGAACCCGGGTCGCACACATGCAGATCGACTTCCAAAAAGCGTGGGTGAATCTCTCCAATCAGCTTTACCCGATAGTATGCAAGAGGTCCAACGTGGGTTGCGGGAGAGTATACAAGAAGTCATTCGCGTTATGCAGCCATCAGTAATCATTAAGGTATATGCTGTGTGTTGGAGTTCGGGGTGGGGACTAATAGTAAAGTGCTAGTGTATCTAAAGTATGGTGCATTCGAATGAATTTATTTATGATCTCACCCTCAGTTATATACTGATGGTGTTTGTACTAGAGTTCAACCACTTGGGTTGGCCAGGGTAAAAACTCATATGATCAGTATGAAAAACCTTATGCAGAACACTTTAGCACTCGGATATATTTTCTAGAAATAAATATATCATACCCGTATCCTATAAATAGAAAAATATGAGAAGAAGTCTCAAATTACTCTTACGTTCCCTCAGGCTGACCCACCTATACTAATATTAATTTGAGAACAAGTCCCAAATTACTCTCGGGCTGACGATGTACAACGTTATTAACTTATATAGAAATACGCGTCCTACTGCAGTTTCTCACTCCCCCTCAATTTTACAATCAAGGGCTGAAGGCTAAAGGCTGAAGGCTGAAGACCTAGATTGTGAAATTGTTGACTCTCACACTTCTGTAGATGGGTTGGGAATTAGAGCTGTTGAGTATAGACTCGATGACAACTGATGAAAACGTTGACTCGTTGGGACTGTTGTCTCGATGAAATTGCCGAAAACGTTGACTTTCTGAAGAGTAGACTCCTGTACAGTGCAGGCTTCACGACAGGGCGTGGATAATCTTCTGTATGGGGACAGGCGTCACAATGTCGCAGGTAAATTTACTCATGAGATTTTCTTGAAAAAAATATTGCTTTCAGAAGCGGTGTCGAGTGTCGAGTGTCGACTGTGGCGTGGATGCTGGGGGACAGCTCCCTTCTGCGTTGTGGCATAGTAGTGTCTTATTTGTTGTCGTTTGGTCGTTGTCGTAAATTCGCTAGCTGCTGAAGCTACGAAGACTGGTGACGAATATCCGAAAAATAAAAAAAAGAACCGTGTTGCAAAATATTTGCAACAGGATCCAAAAAAAAAATCTCAAAAATCATCGAAATTCTAGCAAGTCAAAATTCGACGAAATTAAAATTCGCACAAAAAAAAACTCTCGGGCTGACGACGTACAACGTTATTAACGTATATAGAAATACGCCTCCTACTGTAGTCTCTCACTGTGTGCTATATATAACACTACTTGCTTCATATATATCCATATGTTCTATTTTTATATGTATTTAATACTATTGTGTGTCATATTTTAATTTATTTTTTATTCACTAAACCTACAGGCTCCAACATACAAGCAGGCAACACATTTGGATCCTGGCAAAACCTCAGTTTGTAGTAAGTATGCGCTTAAGATGACTGTATCTCAACGTTCTCCCTCAATAGAGAAGGAGACGTTGTTCTTTTATTAGGAAACGTAAAAATCATGACTCCTCTCAATATGAGTCATGAGTCATGTGCTGATTCTAAAAATCAACAGGCCTAAGTTCATCGGATCATTCTGATAAACTATAATAAACTGTAATAAACTGTAATAATCTTAAGTTTAACTCTACCTAGTGTATTCCGACCACAAGTTGAGGAATGGACTATGTTTAGAATGCTACTATCAGTAGCCTCACCATCAACACATCATGAAAAAGGAAATGCGTGCATTGTTCAAAGTGAATCCATAATAACGGACTTTTTTGGCTTCGTACAACTTAGAACAACATACTGTTGGTGAAGTGTTCATTGACGATTTCGAACAAGAATATAACGATTTCTATGAGATAGATTGAAATGCAGACGTCATAATAGCACACAAGAAGAAAATACAACATACGACTAACTACGGACAATGAAATAGAATCAAATACATATTCATCAGTTTCTAGAAGTGAGTAGATAGATACTAAATACAACATACATCTAGATACGTGCACATAATATCCTACTTCCCCTTTCGGGGATGGTCGTAGAGAGCTTCCGGAAGGATGTAGTACAGCCAAAGACGAGTAAACAAAAAGCGCAATCGGAAAGTTCATATTACACGAAATCTTATATATGCGGAGAAATCGATGGACCGGCAATCACTCAACAGATTCACCATGCTCAGAGACCTCATCAAATGTTGGAAATATTCTGGAATCTTATTTGTCAATTGTTGATGTATATACTTTACAAATAAGAGTCCAGAATATTACCAACATTTGATGAGGTCTCTGAGCGCGGTGAATATTCTCATTTAAACATTCGTATGGTGGCCTCCGGGACCATGTACGTGGTACATCTGTGTGATTGCATTACTCAATGTGTATAGCTTGTTGGTTGTGTCATCTACTATCATAGCTGTTATTGACAACATTTGTGATAAGCGATGTTGATGTACTAACGCGCTACATATATTGCACGTTCCGACGCACCCTTCATACTCACACATGTTATAAGAATGAATTAATACACTATCAAGAGTGTACAATATTATTTATATAAAGTTAAAACTGTATAGGTTTGATGTAATATATATATTGATAAGTTGTGCCATATATTTGCGAGTAATATTTTGCGCGCCCAAAAAGGGTAGAGAAATTCCTGGAATTGAAAGCACAATTATCCTTCTAAAATGAAATAGAGGTGTGACCCTCTTTTTCATTTATTGCATAAGTATTACATAATTCGATTCAACAACCAATTTTATGGAGGTAAAACACGAATTTTAAAGTTGCCAAACATGTCATTTAAAAAATTTGAAAAAGTATATGTGTAAAAATTGTCGTAGTATTTTCTGAGAATTTCAAATTTTCACGAAATACTACGTAGGGAATATCAAATACAAGATTTAGTCACCGGAGTAAGATTCTTTACTCCGCCCAGAACTTCTGTCACAAATTTAATGTTAGCAAAACCGGCCTAATAGATTAATGACAGAACGGATGGCTCCACATATGAATATGTCTGAACTCGACACACACAGCCTAGCTGTAGGGTCACAGTCAGATCTAGACATGCTGCGTGCAGCAGTAGGATCCACTTTGAAAGTTGCCAAACATTTCATTTAAAAAAATTGAAAATAGGAAGTGTAAAAATTGTCGTAGTATTTCTGATATTTTCAAATTTTCACGAAATACTACATCGGAAATATCAAATTGTTGAACTGTCATCTAATAGAGAGCTATAAGATGTTAAAAGTGAGAAGTTATTTATTATGTGATGTTGGCTAGGGTATTTATACTACTTATTTGTAGCATGAATAGTTCATGACCAAGGGAAAAGGCTCTGTGAGGAAAACCCCATCTACATAAAATATTGTACTGATCCTAATTTGATGCTCGGATACTTATAGATGATTCCCATTGGCGGCTTAGACTCTTATAACAAAATTTAGTCACCGGAATAAGATGCTTTACTCCACCCAGAAATTCTTTGTCACAACTTTATAAAGTTGGCAAAGACGGCTTACTACGACACACACAGCCTAGCTGTAGAGTCACCGTTAGATATAGACACGCTTAGTGTAGTAGTAGGATCATAATTGAATAGAGATTCACCAGAACTCGATACGCTCAGCCCGTTAGTGGAATCACAGTTGGAATACACTCAGCCTACCTATAGAATCACACTACAGCAATCGACGTTGGACACGCAGGACACTATAGTGTCACCAAGTCCTCATCTCGAATCTCCAAAGAGTACCGGAACAAAAATAGATACGCTAGACTTGGACCTAGACTTTACGCCTGATCAGATATCAGGAGCATAATCTGAGATATAAAGTACTTCGACCTATACATGACGAGCAAGAAGTGAGGACAAAAAAGCCAGACTACTCTGACTTTGTATCGCAAAGGTGTATTGGAGCGTATCAGATGAATGCAAGTGGAAATGAATCCTGAAAGGCGGCATTGTTATAGATACTCAAAAGGATTATGGTGGCAAACATTATGCGTAGGCGTGTTCTAGAGTTAACTTCGATTGTAATTTTAGGGACTGTACAAAGGCGAGGAAAAGGAGGTCTGAGGAGGTGCTTCTTCTAAATGAATGGCACGTGAGATTTTGGATTCACCTGAGCACTAACGGAAGATACCTCTCATACGTAACAAGATGGCATCCACTGGAAAGTTTATGGACGCGTATAGTGAATAACAATAAAAAGGCGGTAGACAGGGATTCGGAGGAAGTAAACACAGTCATTCTGAGAAAGAAAGCCAATTTGGTCGCTATGCTTATAGCTATCGCAAATTTTATTACGGACAAAGGTGATTTGCAATTCATCATGGATATACCGTGCAATTTGCAGCTTTGATGTATGGAAAGATGCAACTGGAGTTAGCTACTTGGGCTCTATAATACATTGGACGGTTCCAAACAAATCAAAGAAATCCGTGTATCAAATACGAGTATCTGTGTTTAAGAGGCTGAAGGTGATTGTGGGATCACATACATGTGATATCGTTTTCTTCAACAAGTCGAAAATACAGTGTCCAGAGTTGAAAAAGATGATAAACTTCAATCATTCACAGCGCAACACTCGACAACGCATCGAATCTACACAAGGCAATGAAAACTTGTTCCAATGTAGTTTTAAGATGTCAAGAACATTGCATTGCACTGGTTCTCAAACAAGCTATTGGCGGATCATTGGTTTCAGCCACTGACAAGATGAGAGAAGTTATCGACGAGAAAAGGACGGTCTGCATACTGCGAGTCTTAAAAAACAACTTAATATCCTGGGGATACTTTTAGATGTAGATCTACAAAAAGCCATGTACGATGTGAATGAGCCAGCCTATGACTCTATACCAATATCTGATATGGTTAATTTTTGTGCGAATGGTTTTAGGGGTTAGGATGTTGGTCTAGAGTATGTACGGAAAACCCGAGACTTGACTGTTATTTCGGTAAAGATACCATCCATCCGGCGTGAAGTCAAATATAGACGTAGATGTTCAAAGAAAAAGAAATCTAAAGCAAGTCAGAGTCTTCAAAAGATTCAAAGCGTCACGATGGATTCCATCAGTCTCAATGACATGTAACAAATAGAAATCTAATTTCACAGTATGCTGGTACCAAAAGTCAACGCCCGTGAGAAATAAATTCAAGTTCAAGAAAATGTGTTGAATCGTATGAGATATCAGTACTTTGAACAGCTGCAGGCCACTCACCGGGCATCTCTTCTTTCGCAGGATTTGAAAAAGGAAATTGAGATATTGAAATAACAAAAGTCGAATCTGTACAAGGTTTTATCGCACAAATCGTCTGATCTGGCCGCTGTCAAGAAGGGTCTGAAAGATACAAAAGAAGAGCTCGCTACAATTGAGCCCGCTATCATTTACAAGTTTCATGACGAGGTTAAATTTAAAACCGACAATCTCACTTTTTCTCGGGCCCAGGACAGGGATCAATACATCGAGCACCTTATGAAAATCAAGCTCTACAACTTTCTCGAAACAAAGATATCGCAGATGAGCAAGAAGGCTATTGAAATCATTGAAATGGATGCTTCGGAGGAGATCGCGGTGACTCGCAATGTTTTCAAGAGTCGCCGATGCATTGGCATTATTGAGGAATGAATAGCATCAATGTAAACGATAGTTGACTTAGCATTAAAGACCACCTAACATGCATATATATATATATATATATATACATATATATATAATGATCATATATCATATATAATCTTATGTCTATATAACGAGGTTCAACATGTTAATGAGTATAGTGCTCCAGGTAGTGGTGGACGTGTATAAGTTGTGTTTGCTGTGTGCAAGGAATGGGTGGCTGATTTACCGGTAAGGATGCAGCTTTGCAGCTTGAACACAGAGCGATCCTGATATTGAAGTATCTCCTTCCCGGAAACATACTCCCATTTGATCTCGTACCTGAGTATCCTCATCCGCATTAACAGCCGAGAATATGAACTGAGCACACGGTCCGTATAAGGTGGCAAGCAAGAATATAAAAAGAAGAGATCTCAGCAGTATTTTGTTGTAGAGTTTGTGAGTAGCTTATAAGATACGACCAGAAGAAACAATAGACCTCTTCTCAAGTAAGATTGACTATATTTTGATTTATTTTGCCTTTCATGAGATTGCGAAAGCTTTTCGTTATGTCTGCAAACTGAGGTATGTGGTCTCGCATGCAATTTGCTAGACCGACTGCTCGATGTATGCCACGTTCGGTTCTTGGTAAAGGCCAGTCAATCATGCGTTTCTGTTTCTCTGGGTCTGTTTTGAGCCCTTTGGTAGCCCCTTTGACGCCTAATATATTGACTGTCTTGAATGTAAACGCACACTTGTGATTTAGCCTGAAGTTGGCAGCATTAAGTCTTTTGATGACTTCCCGTACTGTTTGTCTATGTTCTTCTTCTGTCATACTCGCGATGACTATGTCATCTGCATATACTTGTACCCCTTTAATGTCAATGAGGAGGTTGGCCATCACTCTTTGGAATTGTGCTGTTAGCGAGTGTAGTCCAAATGGAGCTGACTTGAATGAGTATTGCGCTCCTCTCCATGAAAATGTGAAGAAGTGTTGGCTATTCTCATGTACTTTAAAGTGGTGAAAGCCTCCTGTTTAGTCCAGTTTGGAAAATAATTGCGCACCTTGTAGGTTGTGGAGTACTTCCTTTATTTTGGTAACACGAATTTGTCTTGTTCATGTTTATAGTTTACTTCCCTTAAGTCTAAACATGTGTGTACCTTCTTTAACAGACCTGTCTGTTCAAATTCTCCTGTGGATAGTAGTGGCAGGTTCACCTGTGTGGATGTTGTTCTCTTGTATATATGTCCATCTCTGACCCATTTCTGAGCATTTTCATCTGTTTGTGGTATGTATTTGTGTGGACCAATATTCACTTTAGCATGACGAATGTAACCTATTGACTTGGTATCTCTACCACTGAGCCCGGTAGGTTGCAGTGTACATCTGGTGGAATCTGACCAATTTGTTCTAACAAGTCGGAGAGTGTTTCTCTGAATCCTTCTTGTTCATGTTCAGGGTCCTCTTCATGTGGTGTAAGAAGTGATATTTATTTGGCATCTGTTGGTATTAGTGGGTTGATTATCCCTGCTAAGTATATGCCTAAGTATGTTAGAATGTCCATTCCTAATAAGATTGGTGATTTCTTGTCTGGGAGGTCAAGTACCTCGAAGCAGTTTGATGTTTTTCTGCCTCCGTAGTTTATATTACATACTTCTGTGGAGCCAGTGCGTTGTACTCTTGTATCTGATTGTGCGAGTTTTATGTATCCAGATTGTGCTTTTTCAGATAAGTATAGTTCGGTTACTACACTTCGGTCCATACAAGAGCGTTATGCCCCTGAGTCTACTAGTGCATTGTACGTGGTGCCATTGATTTGTATGTCTATGTGCAATCTTTGGTCTCGTGGATTCGGAAGTAAAGAAGTGGGTGTGTAATCAATATCATTCGCATTTATTTACAACATTTCTTCATCAGTGTGTGCATTCACAATGTCTACCTTGTCTATCATGTTAGCCTCCGACCACCAAGCTCGACCACCAAGCTTTTCATAGATCTTCATTCATCTCTTGCACCTTATTACCATTTGTAATGACCAACTGGTCAACATGGACGGTTTTGTTTTGTTGCGCTTTTCGTGCTTCTGCCTTTAGACGGTTGATTGCCGCTTTGTTGGGGCACTTGCTGAACGCATGTTGTGAAGGATTTATACCACAGTGTGGGCAAGGTCGTAGTCCTCGCGGTGATGGGGTGTCAGTGGCCTGTCCTATGGGACGACCTCTTCCGTGCCCCCCTGGTGGACCTACACCCCTTGGTGGGCCTCCCCCTCTTGGTGGTCCCCCCCCCCTTTGGGTAGACCCCCTGGAGGTATGTCCAGTTTTGGGCGAGTGGCTCGTGGTTCAGGAACAGTTGTATTCTTCGCTCGCTTGTTTTCACGCTTGCGATTAGCTTGTAGTATTGTTCCCTGTTTGATCATGTCTTCAGTGAGTTCATGAAATATCTTCTCTGAGATGTCAGATAAGTGTCCACTACTACCGTCTGGTATTGTCTGAGCTTTGATCAACTTGTCTGTTTCTGCTTGCAAATTGTACATGGCTAGTACTTGGTAACGTGATGCTTTGAGGAGTTGCCAATTGATGGCCTCTCTCTCCGTGCCCTTGAAACGCTTCCCCAACTCAAACATTGTGCGACGCAACCGTGCTGCGCGTACTTTGACATTCATACGAGTGTCATAGAAGTCGTTGAGCCACTTCTCTAGTAGATAGTCTACTGGAGTGCGACGTAGGTTGTCAATGATATCAATATGTTGTAGTCTTCAACATCAGTGAAGTCTTGCAAAAGCCTTTTGGTACTACGTATATTGTTGAGTGCAGTGCGCGATACTTCAGTTGTATCTGTCTGTCTGAGCAGCTCTTGTACTAGTGAGAGGTACTGTATCAATGGCATGTGTGTGCTCGCAAACAAGTCTTTGGCTACAGATACAAACTCAATTGTATCACGACAGTCAGCCAAACTGACATACTTGGCTACTGGCCACTTCGGGAACTCTCTCATCTTGAACAGTTTGTTCAGTTCTGGTTCTGAAGCTTTGTCCCCTTCGTGAGACCTAATTAGAGTTAACTCGCTCATAAAGCCACTGATCGCAATGCACTCATCGTGATCACTTTTGTCACAGTTCTTCATAGTTTTATTGTATAGCTCTACTAACCACTCATATATTACTGGAGTTAATCGCTTGGGTTGTTGTTCATGGACTGCTTTGCGTAGTTTGTGGAATGCTCTGATGTCAATGGGATCGTCCGCTACTTGCGCGTACAGCTTGTCTACTAGTATATATACAATGTAGAAGTTGAGTTCATAGGTGGTCTTGTCTAAGACTATGTTGTACTTACTCATAGCTGGATCCATTGAAGCTCTTGCCGGTGTGGACTCATCGTCCATGTGCATCGCACTATCCCCATTGTGTGGGGGTAGATGTGCGTGACGATGCTTGCGAAACTGGCATTGTGCTGGACGTGTCGTGGTTGTACAACTTATGTTGCCTCTAGTCTGTGTTCTACTTGAACTTGTGTGCGTAGGTTTCGTCGTGCTGCAAGTGTCCTCTGATATGGAGCAGAAGTCATTGACTATGCTATGTGTGGGACTTTTATTGTTGTATCAGACTGCGTAGTTGCATCGTGTGGTTTAAGTAAAATCGATTGATTACCTTTGTTTGTGCTTCCTTGTAGTGTCAAGTAGTGAAGCTATGTGTGGTGTCTTGCCCTTGGTCTGCTCAACTCAACGTTCTTTGCAATATCTGGGTTTATATTGGGAGTTTTTGGTTTAGGTGGATAAACTTGGGTTTATCCTGGTTTATTTGTGTACTTGAGATAAACTTGGTTTCTTGTGTACACTCAGTTTGCTGTATGTGTAACCTTTGATTTATGGTTTTTATTAATTTTAATTTATAAAACGTGTGGCAATGTGGTTGTGTCTTTTGGCACTGTACCGAACTTCTTATATATGTATATATATTATTTGGTCCACTTTATTGAACTTTTGTGTGCTGGAAGTTTTGTCTTTTTCGAGTCTGGACCGAACTTCTAGTTCTGTATGACTTGTTGTGTGAGTAGGATATATAGTTGTAACTGTTTCTCGCGGTTGTATACGATTGCAGTTCGCCACCTGTGCATACGCACAATTTAGCGTACACCTACGTTGATAGTATATTGCGTGTTACGTAGTGTTTTAAGGAAGAGATCTGAGTATGTCTGCTTCACACTTTTTGCGTGCAATTTGTATTTGCAATGCTGTACACGCAATATGCTGGCTCCGTGTCATTAGATGTGTGCATTAGCAATGGAGTCTTGCTATTTTGCTTTTGTTTGTATGTGTAATGGAGTGTTACAGTGTAATGTAGTATTATAATGTTCTTGTGCGTGTGTTGCACTCTTCCATGTGAATTTGAGGCGAAATGTCAGATTGCAAGTCCCTGTTCTGGTAGAATCTAAGTGTGTAGTCTCTGTCGTTGAGACGTGATCGTTTATGGAGCTCTATATGTGGCCTATGATCTGTAATTTTCCGGTTTGTGTTCTTGTCTCAGGTTTAAATATGTTTGAGTGTCAATTTATGTGCACCTGTCTCAATTTACTGATTTATCCGTGTAGGTAAAGTTATTGTCTTGTACTTCTAGTGATTCTAACGGTTTATGTACAGTTCTAACTCTCATTTGTTGCGTGTAGTGTAGTATGCCTTTAGTCAGCTTAAACGTGTTGTTTTAGTGCTTTGTGCGGGACAATATTTTTATGTTTTCACTACTTGCAATGGCATCAGCAAGGGCATCAGAAGTTTGTGTGCTCCATCTGCCGTGTTTATTGTTTCGTATACCTCTATTGGTATGTTTGTTTACGTTCTCCCTCTTCGAGAATGTTGTATTCCCTCTGGAGTTGAAGATCTTTCTGTATATTGAGTTAGTAATGTTGATATTTGAGTAATTTAAGTAATCCTACTTCTGGAGTTGAGGAGGTTTAACTCTGACCAGTTGGTCTGTTGTAATCTCTTTTTGAGTATACTTGGTTTTGTTTTTGGCACTATTATACTTGCCTTATGTTTCTTTGTCCACCTTGTGGTTAGCAAGTGTGTGTCACTGTTTTAAGTCTGTGATTTGTATCTGATTTGGTGATTTATCTTTCAAATGCTTGTGCAGTTGTGCTGTCTCTATATGTTGCATCTGATTTGAGCCGCTCTTACGTGGTCCACTTGTTTCTGTGTGTACTCATATGTAATCATTTTTGCTTGTACCCTTTAATAGACTAACTCCTCGATTTACTGTCTGTGTTGCGCATCTAATGGTGCTTATATTCTTATCAGATGTCCCTAGGATTAGTGTGTGTTTCTACGTTATGTTTGTTCATCGCTTCTGTTTCTTGCCACACTTGATTTTAGTATCTATAGTGATTTACTAGTACTTGTGTATGCCCAATCTATAGTAATTTACTGGTACTCATGTATGGTAATTCTGTCCATTCGTTATCTTGTGGATGCTATTGATTCTGGACTGGTAATTGTCGTATTTGTTTTGTCTTTACCGAATTTGCTAGAAACTTGTTTGTGTAGGCATAAACTATTGGTTGGTCTACGTCTATTACCGTCATTGTTTCAGTCATCTGGATGTAGAAGTTTTCTGCACCACAATTTTACGATCAGAAAAGGAGTTACCACAATGACACTTTTGTAAATTTTTCACTTCCCAACAACGATAACACGCTCACTGTAACAGGTTCACTTGTCGTACCCAAGGAGTGACCTAGGTGAACTTATCTCTGGGGTCACCTAGGCTTATTCACCAAACAAATAAAGACACTTGTTGGTTGGTTCAGACTTGCTGTTTTCTTATTTTGAGGATTTTCCTCGTTTCTCTCCCTTGTCAGGTATATATTTTTGAGCTCTTCTTGGTCTTGTGTCTCGGAAGTTTGGTTCCCTTTCCGTAGGGTGAAGAGTCTTGTAGTCCTACTTTATTGATCTTGATATCTTCTGTGTCCAGGGAGGCTACTTCTAGTATCACCTTTTTAGCTTGCTAAAGCACTTTGTGTTAACTAAAGCAGTGTGATAACAGGTTTCTTGCCTGCTACTTGACTTAGCGTAGTAAGGATATTGTTAAAAATGTAGAGTTTGAGAGTAGCTTGTAAGATATGCCCAGAAGAAACAATAGACCTCTTCTCAAGTGCGAATCCTACAGCCAGGTAAAAGTCCTAGGCTGAAGAACTCGCATTGAGTCTTTATTTGTGTTTAGTATTATCTACACTAGACTCGATATTTACTTAAGTGTTTCTCTCACACGTGGGAGTTCCGGTATCATCTACCGGTAATCCCGCTATATTTCTGATCACCCTATCATCAGAAATATTGGATCCTAGATCCAAAACTCAGTATTTGATAATCCTGGGTTTCGAGTTTAGGATTGGCTGATAATCTGGCCCCTGGATGCTACATTGGTGGACATTGTCCAATTTATAGATTAGTGTGCTATGCCTAGAATGCCTCGTGTCACAGCTCACAGTATATCTACATATCGACAAGTTTATCAGTCTCGTCGACAAAGTCGCTAGGTCGATAATGTGGTACAAATGGGTCGTTCAAATGCAGTTCATTGATAAGAGTATCACTCGTGACCCTTCAAATTGTTGATTTTTAAAAGCTTCTGCAACTTGTGGTCAGGAATATAGGATTAGGGTTACTAGGTTTATTTTGATAGATTTTGTAAACTAGGTTTAGGGTTTATTTGATCAATATTTCTGATCAAATAAACCCATGGTTTTATGAACCAAAGATATTCAATAAATAACCAACGACTAACCTCTGTAGAGGGGAGTACGTTGAGATATAGTTATCGAAGCGTGTTTTACTACATATTTAACTAGCTGATAGAGCTTGGTTAGGAATTGAATATCTTAGAGAAATAAGACTAGGAATCTAGCTAGGAACCCCGGAAAGGTAGAACACGTATAGGAGGAAACAACAACGATTTTTGCTGATATATCAGAAGTAGGGCTAGGGGTGTGGTTGAACCCACCCATGGCGCTAATGGAAGGACATGGAGATAGGATATACAGCAGCGAGGCCAGTATGCCGTCAATATTGTCAGCAGTAGTGATGATAACGAAGAAGTGAGAGAGTCACAGAGAAGGAGAGACGTGACGGCTCCAACAAAGAAGCATGGAGGACCTCGAAACCAAAGGATAAACCAGGCCATACGACGAAGATTGATACGGATACAGAGAGTATTCCAGAGACAATGGTTAAATCCCGGGGAAGACAACCGGTCAGAGGATTGGCAACAGAGGCAGATACCAAAAGGAGCTCCACACATATAACAGCGACGTACTTCGGACAGGGTGAATAACAACAATGAGACCGCAAGAACATGGGGCAATGACGACATCCCGAATGGAGACATATCATCTAGCACGACGTCGGGGGACCCGCAGATTCATATGGTGTCAGAAGAGGGAAGCATAACACCACCACCGAATGCTACAGAGGTCCATACCAATTATATTCTTCATAGTGAGTACGGGACGCCAGAGTCGATAACCTCACAGCCGAACAGGGACTATTGGTCGTCAACAGAATCACAGCAATAGAACATCAGGGAGTCGAATAAAAATTTGACTTTATTATTTAGCGACTCGTCGAGTAGGGTATTAGCTATCCGCGATCCCTTTATCAGTACCGATAATAGGGGTTATCGGGTGTCAGGCACAGGCACCCCCCGGCTTACGACATATACCACGTTGTCATAATTATCGGAACAATAATCATCCCCCATCCGACACCATGGGCAATAGGGGATGCCCAATAGATCAGACGAGAGCACCGCGAGAGGCACAGCCGGTTCATCAAGGAGGAGGCAGACTGCAGTCATCGGAGACAACACAGACGACAACAGACATATCATCTAGCACGACGTCGGGGGACCCGCATATTCATATAGTGTCAGAAGAGGGAAGCATAACACCACCACCGAATGCTACAGAGGTCCATACCAATTATATTCTTCATAGTGAGTACGGGACGCCAGAGTCGATAACCTCACAGCCGAACAGGGACAATTGGTCGTCAACAGAATCACAGCAATAGAACATCACGGAGTCGGATAAAGATTTGACTTTATTGTTTAGCGACTCGTCGAGTAGGGTATTAGCTATCCGCGATCCCTTTATCAGTACCGATAATAGGGGCTATATTCTGTTACAGTTGAACGGACGTACGTTCTGGGTACTAGTTGATACCGGAGCGAACAGAAGTTGCATCTCAATGACATCCGTAGATCTCCTTAACCGGCCCGTCATCCCAGCACCACCGGGGTCATATGTATATTGGCAGATAAGGCGGTGTGTACCCCGCGCCTAGGTACGACGGAGGTCTTACCACTCAGGGATCATCAGAGTTGATGAACATACCGGAGG